TTTTCTTTTGCCTTGCTGAACTCTGTTCGAGATGCTTTTAAATTGCTTGCTTCCCTTTAAATTTCTATGGGCCTTAAAGTTTAAAGGCTTTTCCAATTTAATTTCACAAATGGTAATTTCTTACCAAAGATTTTCCTCAAAAATTACAATTTCAACACTCACAAATCAAATCCAATAAACATCATTTGGTTCTATACAAAATTTGAAAATTCATTTGTATATGCCTTGTGCCTCCTGGACATATCTTGAATATTTCAAATAGCCACAAATTTTGATTCGAAATAGTTGTGTAAATGCGATCAAGCCAACAAAATCTGTGCAAAATTGGCTAATGAGCTGAATTTAGAAGCAATGCTTATGATATTTTCTGCCAGAAGTTTTACGGTCTTTAGCACATTTACTTCAATTAGTAAAACGGCTTTAAATGGCAACAAGGCTAAAATGTTACAAAGTACATGATATAGATACAATTGTGTTTGTTGTGTAATTACACAAATGCATTTATGTTGCACAGAGACCGAAACACATTCACATTCAGACATACACAAAGTTGCAGACGTTTTGTATTTGTGCAGCCATTCAGAACAGAACAAAACACAACAAAACACAAACACAAGCACACACAAAAGTAAGAGTACATAAAGCAAAGTGTAAACAAAATATGTATGCACATACATGTGTGCCAACATTTTAGATACACTCGGGCGCACACACAGACACGCACACACATACACAGACACACATGCACATAATCAGTGGCATTTTCATTTGGCTGCATCAGCACAAAAGCGAACCGACTCAGACTTAATTACAATTTCATTGTATGTGGCTCACCTTTTACTCCTTTTTTGCATTCACATTCTGATTTAACCCTTCGTCAGCTTAACAATTGTTTTTGTGTTAATGCGTTTGGCCCTTGTGTCATATATTGTTTGCCTGGACCCTTGAGACATAGACAATAGCCACTTGTTAGCCTTGTATTGTGGCTCGATTCTCTTTGCCAGTTTTAACTTTTGCAATTACTTTTTCCCCATTCGTAATTAGCGCCAAATGCAAAAAAGTGTGCTACGAAAATCTGCACACACACACACACACACACACACGCTCCCGTATAGATAGAGACACACCCTTGCTTGATAATTGGTCGCTTTTTGGGCAACAGAAATTGTCCGGGCCACTAATTTGCAAAATTGCTGAAATAATTGGCCAGTATGATGTATTTCATTTTAAATTAAACGCCGCTTCACTCCCGCTAACCAAAAGCCGCACCGCCGCAGCACCACAGCTCGACTGCAATTGGCAGCACTTTTACCCACAAGCTTTACTCGCTTTTTTTTCCAGCAGAACGTCCACTAATATCTTTCCGCAAAGGGGTATTTAAAATTTGTAGCAAAGTCCTCAATATATTTATAGCTAACACTGTAAATACACTTATTTCAAAATTGATATTTACAATTTAAATATTAATATTTTAATTTTTACAAACTATTCTTAAAGAATAATTTGTTTGATTTTATGTTTCCCTGTTCGGTTGCTTAGGGCATCTGCAATTCGTATATGTTGCACGTTCACTTTTTAGACACTTTTTGGCTTACTTTCTGCTGCATGCACAGTTTTTTGCCTGCACATAATTTAGCCAATTATATGTATGTGCAAATATTAACAACGTTTGCAAGCACATTTTCGTGCATATTACGTATACGCCGCATGGAAAGTTGCTTTAAAGCCGCGCCGCCATTTTATCAAAGGAAACCAAATCTGGAGGCACGCACAATTTCCGTCGTAAAATCAATAATAAATTTCATAATGCATATAAGAAAATTAATGATGTTCAGGCCGACGCCTGCCTGGAATTTAATACGGCCATGTTCTGGGTCCTTTGCCTGGGGGTCAGCACGCGCTCTGGCGACAACATAGACGTATAGACATACATATTAAGCGAGAGCATATTTATCGGTCAGCTGATTTTTTTGAATTTTTTTTACTCTCTTTTGCATTAACGGCATCTCTGTCATCATTTATCATCGTTTGCCTGCATATGTTGGCCTTCAAGTGGATCTGGGCCATACCATTTACAGAAACGTGTCTGTGCTTAACGATGAAGTAGATAACTTCATGATGGAGCATTGGGGCGTGCATCAATGTCGATTCATCTTTCGCTCGCACGGCAATTAAATAAATATAATTTCTTAAGAACAAGTGATTGCTTTTATTGATTATCCGACAGAATATGTCACACACAACTTCTCCCTGTCTACTTATAATTCAGTGACATCTTAAGTCTCTAATAATAATCTTTTCCCAGCAGTCTTCAAGCTAACCAAATATGCGCGCTTTAAATGCTTCCTTCTGATTTTAGAACCTAACTGCAACGGAATATAGGTATGTGTGCATTGAACCTTTATTCCGCTTGATACCCTTTGATAGACTTACATGAAGGCTTTGCCATTTTGGTTGCACACAAAATAGGAACTAATAACTACTGTACGTCATTATCAAATCGTACGTTTGGGTTTTTGTAACATTTTATGAGTCCTTTTATATATGAACTCGATTGCAGCTCATTTGCATCCATTCAACGAATTTTACAAACCATTGCACGATGTTGTGTCCCAAAGTGGTTTTTCAAAATCAACTTCAAATTGGCAACCGACATGCGCCTGGTTTGTATGCCAACAACTTTAGTTCGTAGAGCCGCATCTATTAACAAATTAAGTGGAGTCTGAGTGTCTGTGTGTGTTTGTGTTTGTGCATGTGTTTGTGTGTATAAGCAATGTTTGTGTATTTGTATTTGTGTTTGTATTTCCAGTTTTGCCCGCATTTGTGTTTGCGCTTGCGTTTGTGTTCACATGCAAATGAGAACATTTTACTGGCACTGCAGTTCATATAAAATGTCGACAAATTTACCGCGAAACCCGATGATTTGTTGGGTAATTGTGCATTGGTTCTTCATACAGATCAAGCCCGTCATACACTCTTAACTGTTGCGTAATTTGCGCGAAATGCACATTTCCAATTCGCACTCATCTGCTTGTCAGTGTCTGACGTTATTAGTTTGTTGCTCAAAATTGATATGTCAATCAATATTTTCGCTGATTGAACCCATTGTCAGTGTGTCACATGGAAAAGCTTCACTGTCGTTCATGGCATTTTTTGATTAATGTCCGTGTCAAGTATACCGAATGCATGCACATCAGGGATAATAATTAAACGTATCTGATTCCACACAAATTGTGCAAAAAATAGCCTAAATATTGATGTACTCAAATAAATGAAGTCAAATATTAATTAGAGACCAATTATAGTATGGTTTGTTTATCTCTATCTCTTATTTTATCAGCATTGGTTTTTTTCATTTTTTTTTTTCAATTCTTGGATTACGTTTTAAGGTAATTTTATCTAAAATATTTCGAGCTCGTTATTTTTAAAAGCCAACAAATAATAATTGAATTTATTTCGATACAATAAAATGTAATAAAAACAGTCAACACAATTCGTGTCCAACTGTTTCCGTGCTATTGGGATTAATTTGTATGTTGCTGGCATTTCTTTATGCATTTTACTTTTGTTCAAAGTATTTGCCATCAATATGCAAATTGTCAGCTGAAAAATTCTTAAAATGCTTCACCTGCTATTTCAGCATACTTGACTTCTTTTAAATTGCCTTTTCAGCTATGGCATTTCTTCTCCCCGTATACCCGTATCCATTTCCGTTTCCATTTAAATTTTTTCCATGCGTGTGCATCCCAAAAGTGGGCAACTCTCAATTTTACGGCCGGCGCGTCGGAGCTGTCAAAGATAGAGAGCAAGTCCCAAATTAGACATGCACCTTTGGCACTCACTTCAAAGTGTCGATAAAGTTAGATGCGGCCCATGACACAAAAAACTATTGAGACTCGTGTAAATTGTGTGGTGGGCAAATATTTTGCGAATTGAATTCTGTTGCGAACTTTTCGAGCCAAGCGAATTGAACCTGTTCTTAAAAGGGAGCACACGACCTTTTTTTGCAGCTCACGGCATTAGAGTGCCGGCTTTTGTGGTCAAATTGAGATGTAGGTGGCACGCACCCACGTCAAAATTGGACATGTGCAGGCCAAGTGGGATACGGGCCAGGCACACAATTCCCGCACAAGAAGTAATGCGATTACCAGACGCATTAGCAGCCACTTGCAGGCAAGCCAACATTATTTATTTATATTATACCTTTATACACATTTCAGATACATATATTTTTGTACGTTGGCTAATCAAAGGCGATTAGTGAAGCAATTAATTTACTTTTTCGTAATGCGAGCCGGGCGCGACCCTTTTGATAGAAGAGACCCAGACCCAAACAAAATTAGGTGCTCTAAGCCAAGGCCAAAGCTGGCTACAACAGCAACAAGAATAATAATTTGCTGTCAAACTCGTCTAATTTTACGCACAATCTTTCTAGTATCTGGCACAAAAAACTTGCGGGCGGCCAAAAGTTTAAATTAAAGTGCTCAGCTTGGTGTCTGTTTGCCGACTATGCGCAAACTTTTTGAATTACCCGCGCACCTCCCTAAATGGTTTTGAATGCCAACCATTTTTGCTTTTTGTGTTCGCAGTCCAATCCAATTTTCATTTCATTCTTTCCAAAACTTGGCTGTTCAAAGTGAGAAAAATACAATTGTACAACAGCAAATGACACGGCGCCGAAAAGCGAACCGCTAAAACAGAGGCCTCAACTTGCCGGAGATGACGTGCTTAACTTATTTAACAGTCTATTGGCCACAGATTTATCCGGTTCAATGTCTTTTTACGTATATTGCTTGAGATGTTGCCAGCCTTGCCTTAAAAAAAACCTGGCTAAAATTCAAATTCAAGAAATTGATTGTATCCATTTTAAAAGTCTAGTTGGCCACGCCCCATCCTTCGGTGAACTTTCAGCACTTTTGAGATCTAACCAAAAAACGTTCAAAGTTCACATATTTTTATATTTTACGGTATGATAGTTAAATTTAATTCAAGCAGTCATCATGTCGAAGGATAGAAAAACACAAAAGCAGATGCAAGAGGAAATTGAAATGAAAATGGAAAAGATGTTGCAGGAAGCCAAGGACAAGGAACAGAGAGATCTTGAAATGCAGGAAGCTGTACGACATCTGTCCCGGGTGCCCGGCAGCTGTCCCGTTGGCAAGTGCAACGAGATAGTATTCCCATCAAATATGATGATGCACATGCTGCACAAGCATGTGCATAGTCTGGGCACTACGAACTCTGAGATCTATGAGCACAAGCCCCTGGTCCTGTGCTTTGATCCGACAGGCTACGAGCACGGCGTCAACAACTGCATGGCCACGCTCATGTACGGAGGAGTGAAGGGCAAGCCGTCGACACAACCAGGCCTCAGCTATCTGAGCAATCCGAACTCTGCGCTTATCAACGATCATCACAGGTTCGACAATTATCTGCCCATAATGATGATGGTCTGCCGCACCACCTGGTATGCCCAACTCAAGGATAAGCAGCTGGAGCGCCAGCTGGTCTCAATTAATGCCAACAAGGCCGGCATCTATGTCTTTTGGCTGGTCGCACCCAAGACAACTCGCAAGATCTACTACACGCTGACTGTCTACGATCGTTACTATCTGAACTCGCGCAGTGTTATTCGCGTGGTGCGCGACTATACTCACCAGCAGAATCCCAGCGATTTTCTGCCCAATGAGGATAACTATCTGTTGCTGCGCGACACGGAGGTCAATGACTTTATGAACATGAGCAAGTCAGGCCCCAGTTCGGACTCAAAGCTGAACAAACTCGGCATACCCATAGAACTCATCATCTACGAAGATCCGAAGAATCCGCCCGTCCGGCATAGCAGTCAAAGGGAGCTACAGGAGGCACTGGAACAGGTACAAGAGCTGTACATTAAAGACAGTATGCCACGCATCAAGGGATCTGTAAAGCGCGCCTTCGCGCGCAAAGTGCCACAGGCCAGAAAGCCGCGCTCAAATACAACAAGCTCCTCAACGGTATCTTCTCTAAGCCGCAGTTCGATGCTCTTCAAGTAAATCGTGTCGATGCAACAGTATATCATTGTATCCTACACTGCTAATCTCCAATATTGCAAAAGGCAGTAATCAGATGGTGTTTGAATAAACGTGTACATATCAAAAAAATCGGAAACCAATAGAAAATATGAAAAAATAATAAATTGAAGGTATACTATGTAACTGCCACTGTAACTGTGTATGAATCTGTATCCGTTTCTGTATCTGTGTAGCTGTGTGTGTATATATCTATGTATTTATATATCGGTTTATCTGTATGAGTATCTGTATCTGTGTATCTATAAATCTATCTATCTATGATCTATGTATCTGAGTATAGGTATGTGTGTATATATCTATGTATTAATGTATCTTTGTATCTGTATATGTATCTGTGTGTCTGTGTATCTATGTATCTGCATCTACATCTGCATTTGCATCAGTATCTGCATCTGTATGTGTATGGTATTTGTATCAGAGTATCGGTGTATCTGTATCTGTGTCTGTATCTGTATCTGTATCTGTATCTGTATCTGTATCTGTATCTGTATCTGTATCTGTATCTGTATCTGTATCTGTATCTGTATCTGTATCTGTATCTGTATCTGTATCTGTATCTGTATCTGTATCTGTATCTGTATCTGTATCTGTATCTGTATCTGTATCTGTATCTGTATCTGTATCTGTATCTGTATCTGTATCTGTATCTGTATCTGTATCTGTATCTGTATCTGTATCTGTATCTGTATCTGTATCTGTATCTGTATCTGTATCTGTATCTGTATCTGTATCTGTATCTGTATCTGTATCTGTATCTGTATCTGTATCTGTATCTGTATCTGTATCTGTATCTGTATCTGTATCTGTATCTGTATCTGTATCTGTATCTGTATCTGTATCTGTATCTGTATCTGTATCTGTATCTACGTCTGTATCTGTATGGCTGTGTTATGTTTCCACCTGCATCTGATGGGCTTTACATTGTGTCGCCTATAATTAATTACAGTCATTAGCTGACTTTGCAGACTTATCACCTATTCCCCGTCGAACATCAATAATCGTACATTCAATGCTTGGGGCTAATTGTTATACAAGTTAATGAGCGTATCCACGAGGCATTCAACAGGCTGGCCACCAAACTAGCAACTAATGCCGCTATTTCACTCATTTATCTGACTCTTATTTAATTTTCATTACAAATTTGAGGTCGCACGTGATGTGCATGCCATACCATTTTCATTTTCATTTCCATTTCAGTAGATGACCGCAGATAACGTCCTTCTATCCATCCTATCCGCTAACCTTTCGCATTTGTATGCGCCATTAGCACACGAAATACAATACAAAAATTAGTTCAAGGCCTGCCCACCGCAGGCCGAGAGCGAGAGCGAAAGAGAGGTAGAGGGAGAGGGAGAGAGAGAGACTAAAATACAATCAGGATATTGTATTGCCTTCCACAGGCTGCTTCTGTTGTTGGCTATTTTCCTGGTCACCATTTAATTAAGCACTTAATTATTTAATGCGCTGATTGCGCAATATTTCAAACGTAGCCTTCGCTCGTCTGCTTAATGACAACTCATCCAATTGCATTGGCTTATTGCCCTGAGTGTGTGTCGAGTGTGGGTCAAGTGTGTTGAGGTGTCATAATTACCGCATGTAGCTGAAATTTAATCAAGCAACCGCAACGCTGGCCGCTTGGCAAGCCAAACTGAGCTGGGAATTACTAATTAATGAGGATTTTCCACAAGGCTGCATTTAGTCGCATTATCATAGCTTGAAGATTAGCATTGACCGATGATAACTTTAATTGTTTCAGTCAGCAGTCTGTCAATATAATTCGGACACTGACTTTTACTTGACGTAAATTAATATTTCACTTATAATTATTTTTTGCTCTTTACCAGCTGCATATGCACATGTCTATGTCGTTAACTGCACATGTTGCCACGCCTTCTTTATGCCACTTTCAACAAATTTAATTAAATTTTAATAGTGCTAGTCATTTTTCTAGACTGTGGCATTTCATTACCATCTGCTGGCATGAATTAAACCATATGCCAGCATTTATTAAGCACGTCTCCTTTTCCTCCGCACCAGATTTGCTAGTTGATTTTTATTAGTGGTTAGCTGCACGCCTTGCATTTAATGGCTAATTTTCTAGTTCTCGTCAGATGTAAATTTAATAAAATACTAGCTAGATACACTCTACTCTGTATATAGGTTTTCTTTTACCATAACTAGGTGCATAATAGTTGATCCCCAAGTCTAGAAGTCAGATATATGAAACTCATATATCTTATCTACTAACTAACATTTCTCAATTTCTCGCTATGAAGTTTGATTATGTATGTATATAATTATATAGTAGTGTGTGCTAAAAGTTGTGACTCATGATGCCTTTCCGTCGAGCTCTCTCGACTTTCAAGTTTGTCATCTTTTAAACGAAATTAAACATCATAATAATTTAAAGGCAAGTAAATATTGATACGCTTAACATGCAAATACACGTATTAATAAAACAAAAAATAAATAAATAGAGAATAAAATGTTGCACTCAAATTAAGAACACAAACAGAATGTGCGAAGTGTAAACACAGCGCACAACTCTATTAATTTGATTCGTATGCAATACAACAAAAAATACAAATACACACACAATTTTTACTTACAATTTGTACACACAAAGAAAAGCGATAGAAATGGGCGCGTGTCGTGTTTAACGACAATATTTTATACTTATTTTGCAGCATAGTGTGTCTTTTAAACAAGTTGGAAATAGTTGCGATGCAGTAAAAGGCAACAAGCAAATCGCAACGAAGAAACACTTGCTAGCTATAATATATACCTTAATATCATACATTTCCTATAGTAAATCCCGCTGGGACGTGCCTGACTTTCGCATCTCTAGAAATCGGCAACAAATGACACGCACTGCTATTTACTTGTGTAGTCTGAATGCACACACACACAACACAGACACGGGCAGACGTATGTGGAATGTATCCGCATTATTCCTGTTTTGCAACAGAAAATTTGCGCTATTAATATTTGCATTGTAACTGCCACACTACCCGCTCTGGCTGCTGGCTCGTTCAACCAGCCAGCACTGGGAAATTTTAACACATTCGCCAGCGGCATTGTCAGTTGACAATGGCAACGAGGCAGGGGGCGGGGCCGAAGGACGAGCCGTGAGCTGCCAAGCTGGTTGGCAATGATGCGTACGAGAATTTTTATGTGAGCTGCACTGAGCATCTATATTTAAAAAGGCTCAAGCGGCACTTAACTTCGACTCAGCCCATTTGACTCATTGCAGCACAGTGGGCGAGAACAATAGAATGACAATAATTATTTTGAATATACCAATTTGTTTATATTAATTATTTTAGCAAATACAAAACCTTAAGATGTGTATTTATCAGCTTTCGTTAATATAAAAGGTTTTTTGAAAACCTCTGTTGACATTTTTATGAAATTTCGTCTACTCAAGCCCACTGTTAAACTAGGTCAATATTCATAGCATACTTTTGCGCGTTGTTGCTGGTTGACAAAGTTTATACGCATTATCGCACAAATATAGCTTAAGGTTATTAAAAACGACGCAGAAATGGATAAGCAACGCGCATAAAGAGCTGACGCCTTCTAATCAAGGCTTTTGAGTGCCCCATATAGAATCTCTGCCAGCCATTATAGTCAAAATTTATGTTTTAATATATCTAAGTGCCGCAAAAATGTGTTTGCAGACTTAAATTTACAGCTGCAGAGAGCATTGCGTAATCCTTGTAACCTTTTAAGCTGCGTGAGTTTAGGAATTAGCGGCCACCGTAAAAATAACAACTAGTTTTAAGCGCTTAATATAATTTTGCCCTACAATGAGGGGTAAAAAGTTTAAAGTACCGGACCTCAACCTAGAGCTGTACGCGGCAACAACGAAAAACAAACTAGAAAAGCACTTCAGGTGCAATTATAACTAAATATAGTTATCAAAAGTGCACAACAACAATAACAATAGCAACCCTTCAGGCATTAAATGTGTTTATTTATTTGCTCATTTTTACTATGCATATCCGTTCTGTCTGATATAGTAGTCCGATGTTGGTAAGACTGCTCATATATAAGGAACACAAATAGCAAATACAAGAACTTTATTTTTGACCGATCGATTGAAGCTACAAATATGATTAAGTGGTCCGATCCGGCAATTTCCGACATATGTCGTAGTCGGAGCTCTTATTGCTATAGCATGGAGAGAGACAGACGAACATGACTAATTGGCTCAGATGTTGAAAGGGGTCCGCAAGAAGAAGAGTCAGCCGTATTAATAAGGCTGTCCATCTATATAAAAGTGTTATAAATGTATGCGACAAAAAGGATTCATACTTAAAATGAGTATATTCAAAGAATGCAAATGAGTTCCAGTGAATTGCCCATTTTCATATAGTCATTAAGTTCAGAGAACTCGCGCACGGATATAGCTGAAGCTTGGCGCAGCTGCTAAACTCGTTGGAAACAACAGACTCAAGTTTGGGGAAGGTTAAGTTGATTCAAGGCGCACATGTAGTTTATGATAAATGTGGTGGGAAGAGGCGCAGCAGGCTGAAGGTCTGAAACGCGTTGTTCGGCGTTGAACTGATGTCAATTATCTCTGCATACATTGCTGCTCGGGAACGTAGCGAAGTGGAAAACTGTGACGGTGCGTCATTGGCAAACAACAAGAAAATCCCTTTTGCCAACAAGCGACGCACACTGTAATTAAAAGACACTCAACAGAGCTGCGTTCCATGGCAGGCCCACGCCAATGGTAGCGCCTGTGGCCAATGACAATGCGCAAACAATGATGGCCAAGCCCGAACCCAGACCTCAAAGCTGACCCAATTAGCAGACTCGCTGGGAAAAAAGCCTGCGATGTTTCCTTAGCTTTCGTTTTGCTTGGTTCTGCTGCTGCCATCCATCGATGGTGTTGGCGATGGCGATGGCGATGATGATGATGATGACGCTTAGCACTAGCTCTGGCCACGTTTGGA